CTTATCTTTATTATTTCCTTTCTCTTGCTAAAGTGGAAATTTAGCTTATCAGTTTGACGTATTTTCCTTTTCTAAAGTAAGCACTTAACACTTATTTTTTTAAAATGTTTATTTATTTTTGACAGAGGGAGGGGCAGAAAGAGAGAGAATCTGAACCAAGGTCCAGGATCTGAGCTGTCAGCACAGAGCACAACGCAGGGCTCAAACCCAAGAACGTGAGATCATGACCTGAGCCGAAAGTCTGACGCTCAACCGACTGAGCCACCCAGGTGCCCTAGCACTTAACCACTTTAAATTTTCTCCTAAGCAAACCTTGAGCCTCATCCTGCAAATTTGATATGTTGCATTTTCATTTAATTCAAAATATTCTTTAATTTCCCTTGAGACTTCCTGTTTTAGCCAGGGATTATTTAGACATGGGTCGTTTAATTTCCAAGTGTTTTGAAATTTTCCTGTCACATTCTGTTCTTAATTTCTAGTTTAAAACCATGATAGAGGGGCGCCTGGGTGGCTTAGTCGGTTAAGCGTCCGACTTTCGCTTAGGTCGTGATCTCGCGGTTCGTGGGTTCGAGCCCCGCGTCGGGCTCTGTGCTGACTGCCAGCTCGGAGCCTGGAGCCTGTTTCGGAGTCTATGTCTCCCTCTCTCTCCGGCCCTCCCCTGCTCGCGCTGTCTCTCTCTCTCTCTCTCCTAGAAATAAATAAAAATATTAAAAAAAAACAACCATGATTCAGAATACACTTTGTATACTTCTTTTATTTTTGTTAATGTTTGCTTTATGTTTACAGCTTAGGATACGGTTTCTCTTGGAAAATGTCCTATGTGTACATCAAAGTAATACGTATTCTGCTATTGTTGGGTGTCTGCTATAATTGTTAAATAGATCTAGACATTACCCATGAAATGGTGTTGTTTAGTTCTTCTCTCTCCTTACTGAAGTTCTGGTTACTAGTTTTATGAATACCTGAAAGGAGAATATTAAAGTCTCCATGTACCAGAATGGATTTGTCCATTTCATCTTTCAGTTGTCAGTTTTTTCTCTGTGGAGTTTGAAGCTTCATTGTTAGGTGCATACCCATTGAAGATTGTTATATCTTTTTGGTAGATATATTCTCTTCATCATCGCATGATATTGTCTTAATCCTAGTAATTTTCTTTGCTGAAGAAGCTACTGAAGTCTACTTAAGCTGATGTTGACAAAGCTCTCTAGCTTTCCTTTAATTCATGATTGTACAGTACATTTTTATCTAACTTTTACTTTCAGCATACCTATATCATTATATTTGAAAAGTATTTATTGTAGAGGCAATGTAGGTGAGTCATTAAAAAAAAAACAAAAAACCAAAAATGTGTTTCAATAGCCTTGGTCTTTTAATCGCTATGTCTATACATTTTACATTTAATATAATTATTGATATGTTTAGATTTATGTCTACCATTTTATTACTTGATTTCTGTTTGCTTCCTTAGTTTTTGTTCCTTTGTTTTCCTTTTTCTTCCTGCATTTGGGTTATTCAAACAATTGCATTATTCTAAAATTGTTTAATGTTTATTTGTTTTTGAGAGAGAGACAGAGTACGAATGGGGTAAGGGCAGAAAGAGAGGGAGAAACAGAATCTGAAACAGGCTCCGGGGTCTGAGCTGCCAGCACAGAGCCCGATGTGGGGCTTGAACTCATGAACTGTGACATCATGACCTGAGCTGAAGTTAGACTTCTTAACTGACTGAGCTACCCAGGTGCCCCAATAATTTCATTATTCTAATTTAAATTTGTTTTTTCTTTGTCTGTTTTAGTGGTTGCCAAGGCATTAAAATATAACATACTTTTGTTTTCACTTTCAGTTTAGAATCAATATTTTACCCTTCAAGAGATATGTAGATACCTTACCGCGATATAAGCTCCCTCACCCTCTCCCCTATATGTTGTAGTTAAGTTATATATTCCCTCAACTTACATCGAAAACCCGATCAGAAGCTGTGATTTTTTGCTTTTGATGGATTGTATCCTGAACATTTTAAATATTATGTCATGCAACTTTGGATCCTGTTGAAATCCTATGTAGAATGCTATTTTTGTTTAGCAAGCAATTGACCCAGTTGGACTCAAGCCCCAAATTCTAACCAGTCTTGTGGTTTCAATGCCTGTTCTATTTCACTGTCTTTCAGCTCTATTTATGCTTATTCCATATATACACCTTTCAATGGTCAGGCTGGGGCTCAAGAAGGAGTCTATCCTATAGTTCAATTCTCAGAGTTTATGGTATTCTATTTTTGGTCAGATGCATGCATTTGCCACATAGGGATGAGCCCAGAAGTTTGCAGACAACTTCATGGGTTTGCTTTCTGGACCTCCTTTCTGTCTGCAATCCCCATGGTACTTTCTGGTTCTAGAGTGTTGGTGTGTATGTAGCCTACTCTGCACTACACTTTCCCAACTGCTTCCGTCTCCACACCTAAATGGTAAGAGAACCAAAAACTGAAAATCAAAACGGATTTGCCACACTCTCTTGGTATCAAAGTGGACAGTTCCCCTTCCACAGAGATGTAGGCTCTCAAGGGCTGCCTTTCCTCTGTCTCTGCTGGTGCCACTAAGAAGATAGAGAGGAAAAAAATATGAGAATATTAGGAAACTCCCTTCTCAGCCTTCAAGGTGGAGCAAGAGCGCTTCTTCTGGAACTCTCTGTCATTACTAATGTCCACTTGTAGGTTTCAGACTGCACTGGGTCCAAGCCAGGGGATACTGGAGGAAAATAAAATCATGGCACTTTGATTCCTTGTCTTGTCATTCTGCTTTGATTTGCCTTTGGACATCCTCAAACTGATTTCCCAAGCATTTTATTCAGGTTTTATAGCTGCAATGAGTGGGAGAGGGAGGGTGGCATCCACTAACTCCAGCTAGCTGGAACTGTGATCTGGAAATAAGATAAATAGAAAATGCAGATATTAAAACCCAGGAGAGGGGCGCCTGGGTGGCTTAGTCGGTTAAGCGTCCGACTTTCGCTCAGGTCATGATCTCGCGGTTCGTGGGTTCAGGCCCCGCGTCGGGCTCTGTGCTGACTGCTTAGCTCAGAGCCTGGAGCCTGCTTCAGATTCTGTGTCTCCCTCTCTCTCTGACCCTCCCCTGCTCACGCTGTCTCTTTCTCTCTCTCTCTCTCTCCTAGAAATAAATAAAACACTAAAAATTTAAAAAATAAATAAATAAATAAATAAATAAATAAATAAATAAAACCCAGGAGAGACCAGGACGGCTGTGAGATCTGCCTGAGGAATCATCCAGGGTTAGGAAGGAGGACTCTCCAGTGTGTATCAGAGGTCAGGTGACCATCATTCAAACGAGGACATGTTTTCACAGTGAGATATTGTAGTTGGACCACATATATAAACCAGACACCAGAACATGTGGTCACCTTATCTAGAAAATGTAGAGGGAAAATTATACTCTTTTCGCATGGTATTCCACTGAGCCCAATTGTTTAATTACCATCAGTCTCCTCGGTATAGAAAATGTGTATGTGTGGCCCACTTTGTTTTGATGGATTTTCATGTAAGAAATATAACTAAACTTTTGTCCTAAATGCTAACTTGGCATCTTCACTGGATCTACTAACCTGGAAAGAGTATATTCTGTAGATGTGAGGCCTATGTAAGTTCTTTTCTCTCTCTCCCTCCCCTCTTCCGCCTCTCTCTTATTTTGAGTATGTACACACCTGAGGCTCAGTTTGAGTCTCTGTTAAGCTTACAACAAAATTCTGGACTAGCAGATAGATCACTTACAGCAAAATTTATTTTAGAATAAAATAAACCCGGATAAACTGGCCCGAAGAGGTTTCTGAGTCTTAGATCTCAGAGAGCGGCTGGCAGGGAAACCAGGGACCCTGGCCGTCACCATAGCACAGAGGCACAATGACAGTGTGGACTCTTCCCAATGAGACCCTACAATGAGCCTTCCCACAGAAACTTCCTCCAGGAATAATTTATACCTTTTAACTCATCTTTAACTTTATCACTGAAATTCCCAACAAGGATGTTGCTTGGTGCCAAAGCCGCAGTGGTTTTTATGATGTGGGAGCCTTTGCGGAAAAAGAGCTCAAGGCCGTTTCACACAGTCTCCAAGTGGTGGCCAGATGACAATGACTTTTAGCCACTCTGAGCTTGGATCGCGTTCATGCCAGCGACTGTGACACATTACATCTGAATGAGGCCAGAAGTTGCCAGTCTTTATGCTCAGTGAATCATTCCACTCAGGCGAGGATGACCGAGCATGAAGTTTTCATATTCCTGTAGGGCAAGAACACTGTTTGAACTATAGCTGGAAGCCTCACAAGGAAAACAAACTGTGAGAGTAAAATCCACCTTGTCCATCAAGAACTACTCCTGGGTGTTTCAGAGTGTTGCCTTGTTACTTAGGACTCAACTAAGATCAGTCAGGAAGCACGCACAAGAAGTGCCAGCCTTGATACGTGAATGGCTCAGACTAAAGCTCTCTTCAAGCCTCGTATTTTCTGCCTTTTAACCGGTTTATACATTTACTTACCAGACTCTTAACTTAGCTGCTAACTCTTGTCACTGTCTTTCTACTTTGTAAGTAAGTGCTGGGGCCATTCCTTGTCTCCTTGTTGGCCTGATCACTTTGGTCTGGTTGATTCCTACTTTCAGGGGCCCAGGGTAAGGTTGTAGACCTCTGCCCTGTACCAAGGTCAAAGGGATGAGGAGATGCTGAAACCAGCTCTACAAGGCTCCCCAAGCCTTGTTTCTGACACAGGGCTGCATTGCCCACCGGAAGGGGCTCCTTCCTCTATTTCATCTGCTTACAGGAGGCACTTCCGGCAGGGACAGAGAAGAGACTGACTGTGGCCCTGTCTGCCCCTTGTTCCCCTTGATTTCTGCCTTTCCTCCTCGCTTTCTGTGCTCCAGAGTTAATGGGTGAACATGGAGTAAACATTGGGGTATTTTTTTTTTTTACAGAGGAGCTTTAGGTAATGTTTAAATCAGTCACTTCTAATAAAATAATATTTATTTACTTGCAAATATATATAATATAAATGTACAATACGTAGGAGACATGATAACCAATAGCCCAATGCAAAAGTGGCCGTTATCTGCCAATTCTGCTCAGACCGCTTGGCAAATCTTAAGAGCATTGTGTGCTGAATGTGTGCATGTGTCTGGAGAATTTATTCTCCCTCTGTCCAGAGGAAGTCAGAAGCTCTAACTGCAGCTTTAGGGCCATTGCTGTGCCTGTCAGGCTGGCTTGCGGCCGACAAAACACTGTCCATCTTATATCAGCCCGATCCATGCTCTGTGTTCTGTCCATCAAAGTCTCGGCTCGCGGAGGACTGAGGGGAGGTGGTTCAGGGTCCGCTTTACTATTCCGCAGGCTGGGAGCTCCTCCCAGTGGCTTCTGTTTTACTGAGTCATTTCCAGTGAAAAACTTCAGGCATAATTCTGAGATGATTCCACCTGAATCCTTCGGAGTTTTTCACCGGCATGTGGTAGCGCATCTGAGTCCAGAACCTGGAGTTGGGAGGGACAGATTTTAAGCCTCTCCAAGTGACTGTAGGCAAAACCCGGAGAGCTTTTTTCACGAGATGAGGTAGTGACTCTGGCTCTTGGAAGGAACAGAACTTAATTAAGATGAGTTTCAGTGTTTGATCATCCAAGGCAAGATTCACTGCTGCTTGTAGTTCAAAGACACTGGGTCCATTGACATAGTTGGGGCTCAAGATAAATATTCCTCTTCTACTTTTCTTAATAATGTTCACGATGTCTTCTGCATATGCTGGAAACAAGGAATTTAATCATTTGCTATTGTATTGCTGAACTTGGGGCCTCAATAACCCCCAATCTCCCAGATCTACCCAGAGGGTTCCCTGCAAAGCTCTTGGGGAAGGAGGAAAGGAAGCTTGGTTTGCTATGTCACTTTTGCCATCTCAACTCTATGGACAGTTGAAGATACACTCGAGTATCCAGTGACTGTACTTTACATCCCTCTCTTTGTGTTCTGTCTCTTTAAACTGTTAATCCCTCTAGGAGAGCTTGTTGGCACCAGTCAGGCTGGGGTAGCAGAGGGGCATGGGGTGTCCCAGGCTCCCTGGTGGGGGGCTCTGAGGTAGAAGAAGTGGGGGGAAGGAATGAGGTCTGCACATCTGGGGAGTGGTAAGGACTGGGCCCCACCTCACCCCATGTAGACATGAGTGGTCAGCAGAGTCCTACAAAGCAGGGGGATCACTTGTTCAGGATGACAGAGATGACTTCCTACAGAGGAGCCCGGGACAATATCTTTGTTCTGGAAGGCATCCCTAGGTCCCGTAACTTTTTTTTCTGAAGATGGGTTATTCTTGGACGATGGAGCACATCACTACAACCCATGTGTTTTCTGTGCTGTGGCCCAGCACATTCTAAGCTCATGAAACATTCCAGAGGAAGCCTACCCCAACAGAAGGAATACCAGGAAAGCCCACAGAGTGCTTGCATCCAACTGTTCTTTTTGTTCTATATCTTCTCTTGGCTTATAAGACCTACCTCCTCCAGGGGCCACATCTCTTTCAAGCAAACACAAGTTGTATCCATATTTGTTTTCCAAAACTTCAGGGAATAGATTCAGGGCCAAGTATTCCTCACGCAAAGATGAAGTGGCCTCACTCTCCCAAGAGCTCCATTTTGCGTAGGATATGAAAGCATCGAATACCTTTTTATCTGAGGAAGAGAAATGTCAGAAAAAACGTCAGCCATTTACGTTTTTCTCACTATCGTGGTATATCTACATGTGCTTGACTAATATGGCAAATGGGCAAGAATTAAGTGTCGGGCTCCTTACTGAATTGATTTAACAACAACAACAACAAAAAGCAACAGCTGCGTCCAACTCAGAATCACACCGCTGAGCGGTATCGATGGCCCAACCAGATTCGAATTCTGATTTATGACGCGGTCCTGCATTTTCACTGAGGTCAGATCAAACAGTTGCGGCTTCTGTGATTAAATCACATTACTCAGGGGTTCCTCTGAGATTTTTCACACTGCGGTGCTGCTGTCTCATGAGTTACACATCAAAGAAGAGTCTGTTCCATCAGAGCATGATAATATCCAGCAAGCAAAGCACCACCAAGACCCAGCACCTGTCATGTGAATGAGAGAGCTGACTGCACACGTACCTACATTAGAATCCCCGCGTGTAAAACGAGGTTATAGTAACTCCCTGGTGGACTGTCTTCAGGTCCGCATGATATAATGTGTATAGAGTGTGTGGTGTCCGGCTCCCAGCAGGGCACAAGATAAATATCCATTCCCCGCTGCCTGTCAGGTGGGAAACTATATTTATGGAACTTGTTTTAGGATATTTATAAAATCCCCTGTGCCTCTGTTGGATAGATTAGTACAAATGCACACTGATTACTGGGATGTGCTACAGAACTCTGAGAGAGGCAGGAAATCTCAAAAGTTAGCTCATGGGCTTTGGGATCTGGACATACCCATTCGGTTTCGTGTACCAGTACTTTGCACAATGGCTGGTAGAGAGCAGTGTTACAAAATAGCAAACAATAGCACTGGTGACTGATGCGGTTGGCAGAACGCTTGCTTAACGTGGACCTAAGAAGAGGCCTTGGTGGGTGGAAGTGCCAGCAAGAGAAAAAGAAGAGGGAGTAGAGGAGGTCCAAGAGACAAGAAAGAGACACAGGAGGTTCAGCTGCGCAGCATCTCATTGCCCAGGTGGGAAGGAGGAGGCATGTGGGGCATGGCCTCCAGGGAAGTGCTGTGCAGTTTAAATGTGTGACACACCATAGTCACCTCAGAGTCCTTCCACATCCCTGTGAAACTCCAACAGACTTGGATTTTTCTATCATCTGGAGATATTTACATTTCTTTAGTAAGAAAATTAGCAGACAGGAGTGTTGGAACTGTCTTAGGTCCTTTGCAGCTCTGACGTTCTACATCTCTCTAAAATTTTGGATATTCAGCACTAACTTCAATGGACAAGGCCATTTTGCTGTAAAAACACTAGATTGGCTACAGAGGGCACTGAATCACCATGCTTGAAACCTGGGTTCGGCCTCTTCATCAGGTTACAGTCTTGTGCAAAGTAAAAAGAGAAAGGACAGATTTAAAACTTTCACAGTTGATTGGCTCTTTTGTACAAGCTCTAGAATCTTAAGACAAATAGCATATCAGTAAAGGAAGTATAGATCATCTGAGGGAATGATTAAGTTGTTGGTTAAATACCTTCTTCAATTCGGAAAAGCTAAAAAGCTAGTTTAAAAAATAAATCTCAGAAAACACTCTTGGTTGAAAGAATTCTAGCGTGAAGTCTCAATAACTAGTCAAGAGGAAGGTATGATTGATGCATCTCTTGACTTCTTTTCCCAGATCTGGTAGCTCTTCACTGCATTCCCGGTGTGGGGTGAGCACCAGCATGGGAGTTAATTATCCTAGGCAGGTAAGTAATTATCCCCAGAACCCAGCAGAAGGAAGGCAAGTGAGAGAACCATCCAGTAAAAACTAATCTTAGAGACCCCCAGGGCTAGAAAAACACGCAAGCAGCTCTTCTATTCTAAAGAAGCAATCATTAATAAGCACTATTCTTCTGTCTCCTGGGGAAATGCACAGATAACTCCAATAATTGTAATGGTATTTGCATTTTACAGAGGTTCACACTTTTTGTGCATTGCCACCATCTTCAAGGCCCCCATTTTACAGATGAGGCTAACTGAAGTAATAGCTAATGAGCGCTCTGAGCCAAATCACCTGAGTCCGAATCCTGAGTTCTAACACCATCTTACAGTTCAGTTTTGGGAACATGACTTCATGTCTCTCTGCCTGATGCAGGACTGAAGTGACAGGTAAAGTAGCTAATACACCTGACTGGCGTGTACTGAGTATTTGCTCTGTGCTAGGTGCTGTTCCAAATGATTACTGTTTCCTCGCTCACTGAGACCTCGTAGATTTCATTGTGGTTGTGATTATAATCTCTTTTTCCAGAAGAGGAAACTAAGTCATGGAGATGTTCGCTCATCTGGCGTATTGCATTAGGAGATATGGCCAGCGGAGAGACTATTTTCGAACCCAACATGCTCTGCAATAGCATCGCCGATCAGCAAGATTCCTGGCAGCTGGAATGAAAAGAAATGGCTTCCCCGCCCGCTCCCAGTTCACCCAGGTGTGAAGCCACCAGACCTGGAAGAAGGTTTCAAAGCCTGAGGGGCACGTCCATTTCTTGAGCTGTTCCCTCTAAGTCTAAGCAAAGTCAGGGGCAAGCTGGGGTCCCCTTACCCCCAAGTGTCTCATCCTTGTTCTGGTAGGTTCGGTACAGCAGCACTATTTCAATCCAGTACATGTAGAGCAGAGCACCTGCAGTCAGCACGCCTGCCAGGCTCATGACGGTGCCAAGTAGGACGTAGATGAACACCACTGGGGGAGACATGGCAGCCATGAACAAATGTCTCTGCAAGACCACATTTGGGCCAATGCGGTAGGCCCGCCCAGCGCCTTCTCAGGCTCTAGTACCTTCTCAAAATCATTGCTCTTGGGAACATTCCTCTTGACTCTGGAAACATTTAAAATCACATCTTGAGGGAACTGTCTTACAATGAACTGGAGAGGACCCACGGGAATGGCATGTTCCTGAACAGGGTGGACGGGAAAACTAATCCTGGCCACTTTTCGTTATTCTTCCCCCATAAACCTCCACACAACCCATTTGCATCCCTCTCATTGCGTATTATAAATTATTTTCATGCATTATCCTCCCTACTAAAGTCCAAACTCCCTAAGGCCAGGAGCCACGTGTGGCTCAGTTTCATACCCTCCCTGATACCTAACATGCGAGAACTTCCACACACCTCTCCTGACCGGAGTCCCGTTACAGGGTATCCACAATGCCAAGTACACGTTTTGTCTTATCTAAGGCCCACTAGCATTCAAAACTTGCTTGTTCTGTAATCAGTTCTTAACTGGATGAATAAATGATATTCACTCCATCACGGAGTACCTTCTTAAAGGAATGTCAAAGCTATTCTTTGTCAGGAATTTCCCCTCCAGCTGTCAGTGGCTGTGGTCTGTGATATACACATACTGCTCTGAGCCCTGAGCAAGATGGCTCTTCTCCCCTCTGCTCCCCAGGACCCTGCCATCATGGTCTCTGGATTCCGAAGCCAGGAAAAGAAAACCCTAAAATGGAGCTAGGTCCTAGCATAATACGTGTTACACAAGACAAGCCCTTTAGGTATTTGTAAAATAACAGATGGGTGAATGAATGAATGACAGGCTTTTCGGACGCAGTCCCCTTACAGAGAATATTAGTCAAGAGGACCAGCTCTGGATCACTGTGATGTGACTGTGATTACTAGTGATGTGTCCCTGGTCAAAGTGCGAAATGGAAAAGTGCATAATGTCTGGCATCTCACAAATGTTAATTGCTATCTTCATCATATCCTCATCACCACCACCATCACATTTCTCTAGGAAAATTCCTCTCCTCTTAGATAAAAGCAGTTGTGTGCATTCTGCAGCCACCTTCCACGCTTACCTCCTTTCTTTTCTTTCAGCTGGATGGACTGGGTAGTGTTTCCGATGGAGTTCTGGGCAAAGCAAATAAACATCCGGTGAAGATCCCTCTGAGTAACTTCCTTCAAGTGGACAACACGCTCTATAACGTCATCTTTTTTGGTGGATTTAACTCTAGGAAAGAAGGGGAAACACCCCACTCGTTCAGCAGCATAAATTGACCACTTTTGCAGTATTTGGATTTCTTACTAGCTGCCAACAGTGTGGCCTTCAAAAGAGCTATCAGATCAAAGAAGAGAAGGAGATGCCAGAAGACTGTAAGATGGTCAGAGGGGGTTCATTTTTGATTATTGACTCTGCTAGGCATCGTTTTATGCATTTACACCACAATTTAATTTTACTCTGAGCCTCATCTGACCTCCATTCCTCTAAGCATTCTCCTTGAAAACAGACTATAACAATAATTTAAGAATAATATTGAACGTGCCTCACTTGCACTGAGGGCTCACCATGTATCTGTGCTCACTCTTTTTTTTTTTTAACTGTTCATTTATTTATTTTTGAGAGAGAGAGAGAGAGAGAAAATCGTGTGGGGGAGGGGCAGAGAGAGAGGGAAACACAGAATCTGAAACAGGCTCCAGGCTCCAAGCTGTCAGCACAGAGCCCAACGCAGGGCTCAAACGCGTGAGCTGTGAGATCATGACCTGAGCTGAAGTTGGACGCTTAGGCAACTGAGCCACCCAGGTCCCCCATCTCATTCTTTTTAAAATGTTTACTCATTTATTGTGAAAGAGAGATAGAGAGTAGGTAGGGGAGGGGCAGAGAGAGAGACAGACAGACAGAATCCCAATAGGCTTCGCTTGCAGCATGGAGCCAGATGCAGGGCTTGATACCATGAACTGTGAGATCATGACCTGAGCTGAAATCAAGAGTCAGATGCTTAACCAACTGAGCCCCCCAGGGGGCCAACAAACGAAGCCTCGTTTCCATAAAACTATGGCTTCCAAGCACTTCAAGACAGATATCCCACCTCTGAATCTTCATTTCCAGGTTGGATTTCTTCAACTATTCATCACTTCTCATATTTTTGTTCAGACTCCTTGTTGTTGTGTGTTTTCCTCTGCATACTTTCCAGACTGTTCATAACTCTGCATATTTGGATCCCTGAACTCACCATTACTCTAAATGAACAGCACTGGGAAACATAAGGAGTGGGGCGAGGGCAGCATTCTTCCCCATTGGTTGGTCGGGCTACTTCTGTTTGGCCATCCTGGGTTGGTACGTCTGTCTTCTTGTCAGTTTGATGTTTAAACATCAAACTGTTGCTATAAACTCATCTCTAGGGGCACCTGGGTGGCTCAGTTGGTCAAGTGTCCAACTTTTGATTTCTGCTCAGGTCATGATCTCTCGGTTGGTGGGATGGTTCGTGGGATGGAGCACCACTTGGGGCTCGTGTTGACAGCATGGAGCATACTTGGAATTCTCTCTCCCTCTCTCTTCCCTACCTCCTTCCTCCCTAAGGATAAATAAGTGAGCATTTTTTAAAAATGAGCTTTAAAACAGTTTAAATATTTCATTTTATGGCCCTATGAGAAACTGCTTCTGATCTGTGTTTAAAAGGACCCTGCACTTTAGATTTCAGTCCTTTTCTATTCACCACTAGTTGGCGCTAGTGGCCACACCATCAACAGCGCGTTTGTTCGCCTCGGTGTGTGTATTTTAGAGGTTTCCAAAGGTGTTTAGAAAAGTGTTTAGTGTAAGTTGCAAAGAATATGATCTGCTAACTTCCTTCTTACCTTTTCTGCTCAGGTGTTGGAACTTCCCACTCCCGATCAGAATCCTTAATGTACCATTTTATTACAGGTTTAAAATCTCTTTGGTAGCCAAACCGTGCCGTGCAGTTCAGAGTTAAAGGCTTTCCTGAAAATGAGAGAGACACAGAAATAGGAAGGAAGTCCCTGAGGACACTTTGTCCTGTGCAGGAGGAAGACTCCATCCGAACACCGTTCACTATTGCAGTCATGCTTGCAGGTTAATAACCAAACGTCTGCCAGAATATAACCAAAAATATTAACCAAACGTCTACCTGTCTCCTATTCAGAAGCAAATAAGCCCAGGTATGTTTCTCTCCAATGAGCAACACTTACATCTCAAACTTGTGACTATTTGGTCACAGCACTAAGAATCCTGATGTGGTTTGAGGATAGATACCAGGAAAATGAGGAGTCCCCTGAGTGACCAGCCTGGTCTTCTAATGCTGCTATTGAGTACATAGTGTGTCAATAAAGAACATTTTACTACTAATCAACAGTTGCGTATTAAATTAAGACTGTGAGGTTACTGTAATGTAGTTTAAAGAAGAAATTATTTAGATATTCAGCAGTTTCCTGAACAATGGACTATGATGAGCATGCACGTTATGACACTACCCTCTTTCTACCCATTTTTTTTCTACAAAAGGTATCCAGATACACTGGCTCAAACTCAATATTTTCACCCTGAAATGGTTAAGGACTCTATTAAAAATCATCTTTGCACCTTAATAATGTCCCTCTGCCCTGTAGGACCTTAAAATTATTGAAGCCACAGGTAACTTGGCTATCTTTGAATTTATTAATGATTTTTTCTTTGCTCCTTCTTTTTTTTTTTTATTTTTTTTATTTTTTTTATATTTGTCTTTTTTTTTTTTTTTTTTTTTTTTTTACAAATAGTTTATTGTCAAATTATTTTTTCCATCACCCTCTTTGCTCATCCCCCACGTGCCCNCCCCCCCACATCCATCAGTCCTCAGTTTTTGTCAGCATTCAAGAGTCTCTCATGGTTTGCCTCTCTCCCTTTCCCCCACCATTTCCGCCCTTCTTCTCCCCCTTGGTCCTCCCTCAAGTTCCTCCTAATCCTCCTATACGTGCAAACATATGGTATTTGTCCTTCTCTGCCTGACTTATTTCGCTCTCTTTGCTCCTTCTTTACATTCTTGTGATGCTGCCTGTATTGCTAATGCTATACTCTGATACCGCCACCTAGCGTTCTTTTACCATAATATCTATTTTGACGTTTATTTGTATAACTATAAATCCTTTAGCATTAAAAAAAATTATTTTATGGAACAACCAGCACTTGGTTTTAAATAAAGAATATCTTATTTGGCTGTGTGGGGAAATGTAGATGACATTGAAGTGGATCAAATAAAAGGGGACCAGAGGAAAATCACTTTGGCCCTCTACCCAAAGAAGATACCACTTGGGAATGCAAATTACTTGAGCAGGGGATGTAGTGTTCTTCTATAATTATCTTAAAGCTCATACTGAACACCATGTTTATAAAGATTAATGCTATTCAAGTTGGTAAATTGGTAACATTTGCAGATTTAGTCAATGGATTAAATATGTGTAACCACCTGTTTCTGGGATGAGTAAGGAGGAATCTAAAATCTATTGATCATGACCAACTCACCGGCCACGTAACATACATCATCCTACATTTCTCACTGAAACCAGCCAGTTTTCTTTTGCCTATTTACGGATTTAAAACCTGAGGCTTAGCACGATTAAATAAATCTATAAGGTCATAAAACTAGCCAGTGGCTGCATCAAGATTCACACTCATTTCTGTTTGACTTAAAATCCCCATACTCTTAAAAAAAAAATCCCCATACTCTTTTCCTTTTATCACACGTAGACCTGCTCCCAGAAGCACAATGTCGTTCAATAGTGATAATACAACCCACCTTACCAAGTTCTACTTCCAGTGTGTCCTTGATGGGATCCAGAATATCCGGCTTGAAAATAGTGTCTTTCACTAAAAGATGAAAATAGTCATTGTTATTCGCATTGGGAAATCTGAAGGTCTGCTTGCTCAAGATGTGTGCAAAGTAGCACTTTGATCTAAATGCTTTGGTGCTGCCTCTTCAATTTTGGTTCATATTCTATAAGGTTAGTAGGAGCTCAGGTTTCTATGTGAAAAGCAACCCTCCAAAGATGAGTGTGACGTCAGGTTGCAGGTGCTAGCAAAACATTAGTCCCTGAAAAAATCTTATCCACCTGGGTGCATTTTCCTCTGCACCGGCCCTGCTGAATGACTGCAGACCTGATCTCCCATTTCTGTCTTCTACAACATTGCTTTTTGACACCATTTGGCTGAGTAATCTGGAAGAAGAATGTACCTGAGAAAATGCCTACGTCCACCAGACTGGAGTCCACCTCTTCCATTCTTATGTTCATGGTTTATTTCAAAATAAAGGTGAGCCCAACCCTCCATTACTCATTTATGTCTCAATTTCCTGTCATGAACTGTCAAATAGGGCTCTATGGTCAGACTTTCTCCTGAATATGCCTCATCTCCTGATCAAGGAAAATTCATCACCTCTGCTCTGGGCATTGTCCTCTCACTTCTCAGGGACCTCCTTCCCTTAATGACTCCATCTTTTCTCTGTATCTCTCTCTCTCTCTCTGGGCCAAATTCTTGAAGAAGCGATATGTACTCATATCCTCCATGCTCTCACTTCCCTTGGAGTTCAATTCCTGCCCCCATCACTCAACAGAATCTGATTTGGCTTAAGTCCCCAATGACGTCCTTGCACCTAAATCCACTGGGCACAACTGAGTTTCTCTTCTGCTTTATTTCTTAGCAGCACTGGACACTGTTGGGCATGGCCTCTCAGAATACTCTTGTTTTTCTTTCCCTTCTTCCCTACTTTCCTATTTACCTTCTGCCTCTCTGCTCACTTCCCTGGGTGTTTGTGTGAACATCAGTTCTCTCCCTCGTACTCTGCTAGTGGTCGTTCTCTCTACTCTCCCTGGGTGGTGCTGTTCATTCTCTAGACCTCTTCCCTACTAAAGGTCTTGAATCTTGAAATGATCTCTCTTCTACATCATCAATTTCACTTCCTTTACAACTCTCATCCCCACTCTTCTACTGGTACTCACCAACTTATGTAAATAATGATCTCTGTCTTCCCAAACCCAGTGATGAGTTCTCAGACCTCATCTCTGAGGCAGAGAATCACTCCCTCTGCCCGGAGATACTTTAGTCACTGTGCTCTGGGACAGTTTCCTTCTGTTCTCACACCCTTGCTCCACCCACTTTGGGGATCCCTTGCCTTCCCCCAACCTCTCCAAGTGTTGCAATGTTTCAGGCCTCGGATCCAAGCCTTCTTCTCACTATACTCACTCCCTAGATGACCTCGTTCAGTCTTTTTGCTTTAAATTTCATGTTGACCACCTTCACATTTACACCTCTGGCCCTATCATCTCCAGACTGGTTTGTCCACATTCCTCCTTGTCACTGTGATTTGGATAACCGAAAGTCCTTTCAGATTTTCTTCCTTAGACCCTCTTCTTTTTCAGTGTTTTCTGTTTCATGAAATGGCGTCACCATTTACCAGCTTATCCAGGCCAGAAAACAAAAACACCCCTGATTTCCCTCTTTACACACCAAATCCATCATCAAGTTCTGTTAATGCACAAACAAAGCCATTCCTTACCACCTTTGCTAAGTCTGTGCAATGAACAATCAGAGATATCTCTTAACAATGTACATTAAACCTGCCTTCCTCCCCACCCAACACACTGTATGATGACAGCCTGTGTGCCCCACAAAGTGGGCCGTTCTGGGTGACCACTGAGAAGGTGTCCAGGTATTCATTCTTACAGCCTTAGCACCAAGCTAAATGCCTGATACATATTAGATGTTCCACAAATATTTGTGTGAAAATGAATACGTGAAAAAGTGAATGAGTGAGTGAGGAAGACAAGAATGATGACAGAGAAGCCTTGGTTGAAAGAGACACCACAGATGTTGCAGGGCATCCCTTGGGGGAGTGAAAAAAAGGAGACTCCGCCCCTGAAAATTTGATGGGCTGAGTTGTCATGTCCGAGGGAAGGGCAATCACACATCCCTTGAAAGGGGCTAATGGTGCAAATGGGGTCCTTGTGTTCTAACTTCTCCAAGGAACAGTCTAATGTAAATGTCCATTGCTGAAATCCAGGAAGTAGGCAGAAGTGCTTAACTTGGCCTCAGGGTGCTTAATGTAATTTGTATCCTACACTAAAAGAAGAGGAAGTAAAAATAATTAATATATTTACTAAGAGCTGAGTCAACCATTCTGTAGCTCTTTAATACAAAGCATGGATGAATGGCCCTGTTGTGTTTTGACAAGAGCCATGTTTAAATTAATTACATCATATAATTTATTCATCTGGGTACTTATCAATCTAGTAAGAATGACTCAGTGGAAAATCTGGGCCAAAAATAGAGCAAAAAGAATAAAGCCAACAGACCACCATATATGTAACAAGATATTAAACTTCATTAGTACTCAGGGAAACATAAATTGGGTCGTTAAAAAAAGGGAGTGGGGAGAGATCCCTCTTGACACCAATCAAAAAGTCTGTAAACATCAAACATTATTTGGTAATAATGGGAATCTGTTCTTTGCCAGTATAACTGGCAAAATGATACCTTAGAATAGTATCACGTGTTTTTAACACAAGACACATTTTATACAATATTTACTTTATTTTTTTAAGTTTATTTATTTGAGAAAGACAGAGACAGCATGAGTAGGGAAAGGACATGGAGAGAGGGAAAGAGAGAGATAATCCCAAGCAACCTCCATGCTGCCAGCAGAGCCCAATGAAGGATTTGAACCCATGAAACCACGAGATCATGACCTAAACCAAAAGCAAGAGTAGGACACTTAACTGACAGAGCCACCCAGGTGCCCCAAATATTGTATTTTATTAATGGATATATACTTTTGTATAAAAGCATAAAGACATAAATGGAAAGAATATAGGGTTCAAGATTGGACTACAGCTGGGAAGAGAAGGAGCAGAAAGGGATAAGAGCATAGGCCTCAAGCTGTCTCTGCAATATTTCATTTCTTTAAAGAGAAATCAAGATTCTAAGTGTGAAGAAAAACATTGACATGTATTAAAGCTGATAGGTTCGTGGTGTCACTCACGAAATGTGAAATATTTAATATAATTTTTTAACTTATTACAAAAACTTAGCAGGGATTGATCAATGTGTGGAAAACCCAACTTGTGACAACATGAATATCATCCAGAATGAGGCCTTCCTTGGGGGATGGAATCTAGACTTATGGGGAAATTAATGTTTTCCCACATTTAAGGCTTCACATGACTACCAGTATATGATTATTTTTTCCCAAAAAGGAAACCATTATCAACCCAAAGGAAGATAACTTTAATTGGGTAAAAGGGGTTCAAATCCCAAATCTTGAAATGGAAATGTCACTTACCAATGGTTGTCACTTGAACAACAGCTCTGACTGTCCATGAACTTGTGTTATCTGAAGCAATATAATCACATACGTATATGCCCTGGTGGTAGTCATAAACTTCATCCACTAGCATTGAGTTGCCCCTTTCTTCAGAGAGTAGTTTTCCATTCTGAGCCAAGGGACAAAAAAGGAATAACTTTCTTTAACCAAAGAATTGTTAATGATATTAGTCAAACCTATAGGAAAACTTCATAAATAAGGGCATCACCCAAGCAATGAGGGGCTTCTGTTCAAAAACTGCATTTGTAAGAGTCTTATTTGTTAATGAGAAGCATTTTCAAATACAATTACCTTATCGTTTAAAATCAAGGCACCAAATCTGACTAATCCACCAAGAGTTAGCCTAGTATTTCCCAGCACATGACTCAGGCCCTTGAGAATATTCTAGAAAACTTATAGTACTCTAAATTACTGACACCTCAATGAATTTTTGAAAACATGCATATATATGCTTATGGAAATTGACATTGTGTGTGTGTGGGGGGGGGGCTAATATAAAGTTTCCTCTTTAAATAAATTTCACTCTTGGGGCACCTGGGCAGCTCAGTTGGTTAAGCACCTGACTTTGGCTCATGAACTCACAGTTCATGGGTTCGAGCCCCACATTGGGTGAGCTCAAGCCACGCTCTGGGTGGGCACGAGCCCTACTTTGGGGAAGCCCCGCTTCTCTCTCTTTCTCTTCCCCTCTCTCACTTGTGCCCCCTCTCTCTAACAAAAAAAAAAAAAAAAAAAACAAGTAAATTTCACTCTAAAAACAGGTGTAATTTAGTTTTTTAAAGGTGAAGTTTAAACTAAAAATATTAAGTAAATAACTAAACAGGCGTACAGAAATATGACAAAGAATGACTGGTGAGTGAGACACAATGAACAATGGCGGACCCAAAGTCAAGTGAGAACTAAAATGCAGTTATGAACATTTCTCTCCCTTACTTAGCATATCCTTCAGGGATGCTCTTCTAAGGTCTGAAGTTCTCCCCTGGCTGAGCTTGCCATTTCTTCCTTGTCTCATTTCCTGCTACTGCCCCTCCATTCCCTGAATAACCATATTCCTTCATCATCCACACATTTGTACATCTCTTCTCTCCCACCACTCTCTTCCCTTGGGTAGGCTGCAGCTCAGTCTTTAACTCCAACTCAAAAGATGACTCTCATGGAGAGAAGAGAGTGACCAGACACTCCCTGAATGGAATCAGTCCCTTCGTACTCCCAGACTTCCATGATTGTGCGTAGTCCTCTGATCATAATGATGTGCATAGTCACCTCCTTCTCCATAGCTGTGGGGACCAGCCTTTGTGCCAAGACATATAACTGCTCCTGCACACACTGGCAGGAGTAAACACAGATCTCTCCTTGATCTCTCCTTGCAGAGAACGCTCAGTCTAAGAAGGCAGGCGCCCCAAGCAATAAGCCAGAGTGTGATGCACTTGGGTGATCTTGCCTCAGCTCACAGGAAGCAAGGATGCTTCCTCTAGGCTAATCAGAGCCTTGAGGAATATGTAGGAATCACTCCTTCAGGGTAAGTGCCTTCTTAGAAATGAGAATGTATACAGGAAATAGGGCCGAAGTGAAGAGGCTGATGCACATAGATGGATTTGGTCTTTGTGTCTACAGTATGTGAAAAGCAGGCCAGGAATAGTAAGCTCTTTGTAAATGATGAGTGAATAAAGTATGTATAATTGAAATGTTTTGAAGCATAAGAGTCATGTGATCACCATTGTATATCAGTAGGGGCTAGGACATAGCAGGGGCTCAAGAAATATTTGTTGGATGGCTGAGTATTACTGTGTCAATAATTCTGTAGCCCCTAACCTTCGTGTAGCCATGGCCTTCCAATCTCCAACAAACAGTACCTGGAGTGTATCTCCTACCAAAGCAGTCCAAAGCAAAGACATACACAACAAAATAATAAAATAATAAGTACCTAGTATCTATGCAGATTATAAAATTCTTTCTCATGTATTATCTCATGTGACTCATTCAAAGGACTCTCTGACTTGGGTTGCATGGGCTTTTTGAGGAAACAGGCTCTGGATTTGTGTGTGGCTTTGTCACAGTGCTGGCAAGTAAGAGGGCTGAGAATCCATCTGAATTTTTCTGACTCTGAGTTTCAAGTTCTCATTGAGGAATTTCCCTTCCACTTCACCTGCTGACCCATAGGAGCAGGGTTTCCCCACTTCAAGTCTCTGGTGTGGTTCCTATGGCCCAAGAAGGAACTTCCAGTAGATTGGCAGGAAGACTATGGTGGGGAGGAGTTGGGGGGCAGACAGAACTGGTCATAGAGGGGCAGCTGCAGGCTACAGGAAGTAAAAGAAAGCAAAGAAGCGTGGCAGACAAGGTTAGATATCAATCAGCTGACCTCAGGGGTCAAGGACCCTTTTAAAGGAAGGGTCAGAACATGGGACAAAATTCAGAGCTAAAACCCTGGATGACACACATACAAAGAGCAGAAACTGGAGTGGGGGTGTGTCATGAATCACATGAGAAAGTAATGGGGAGAGGATGCAGAGTCATGACCGAGACCCCAGGTAAGCCATAGGGAGGGTGGGTCAAAACAAAGTCGACCTGATTTTTTTTCATTAAAAAAAAAGTATGGGTTCATATGCATCATTAAGGCTTAATAAATGGGGTGTGGCTCAGTCAGTTAATCGTCTAACTCTTGATTCCGTCTCAGGTCATGATCTGACAGTACGTGAGTTTGAGCCCTGCGTTGGGCTCCGTAGTGTCAGTGTGGAGCCTGCTTGGGATTCTCTCTGTCTCCCTCTCTCTCTGCCCCTCCCCCACTTGTATTCTTTCTCTCTCTCAAAATAAATAACTAAACTTAAAAAAAAAAAAGACTTAATAAGCTGGAACTAAAAGCAAACATCAAAGAAAACAGATAAAGGAGAGGCCATTTGTGTCAAAAATGATGGGAAGCCCATTCTAATAAGACGATCACAAAGGATTCCAGTAGAAAAGAGATATGCTAATAGGCTGTTTTGCTCAGTCCTAGACAGAACTGAAGTGTGCAGAAAAGATGGACACATGAAAACAGGACTTTTAAAGGTATGTGTGAAGCCAGAAAAACAAAGGAAATGTATTCTGGTAGGACTACTGTTGGAATTTTACCCTGTAATATCACCAAGCTCTAATACTACTGAGTAGTGCAGCCACTCCAGGGAGTAAAATGCATATGGTGCTGCCTGGAATTGGGTGACATAGTGGAGCTCCTACGGGGGCTTTCACTACCTAGTCTGGAAGGACTCTCAGCATGGACATCTTGAGCCCTACTCTCCCTGATGGACTTGACGTTGTTTTCATGTCTGTTTTAATGACTCATTATGTCCAGATCTGTGCATGTGACCTCTTCTCACCCCTCACTGAATTTACTTCTATGTTGTCAACTTCCTAAATGCTGTGAATATATTTGAGCCAGAAAGGCCCAAAATATGAGTCGTCTCCTTTAGGTCTGCCTAGATAGTTAATCTTATATTTAATACCAAACATATCACTAGCATCCACCACCTTATTTCTGTTCCCAGTGCTAGTTCCCTGGGTCAGGATTCACACTTATAAAGTTCAATCACACTAACAGGGACCCCCAGTAACCATACTACATAACCAACCTATAGACTTTGTTTCCATCTCTAACCCTAACTACACCTCTCAGGAACTCTCTGCTCCCACCATGTTGAGCCACTCACCATTCACAGAATGTTCCCTTCGTGTTTCTGTTTTCCATTGCCCATCTGCCTATTCCTGTAGCTTCACAGGCTCCTGCCCCAGTCATCAACTAACAGCATTCTACTCAGACATAAATTTTGTACTAGAGCTTCTCTCTTAATCGGAAAAGAGTACATTAGAAAAACTACAGACTGATGAGCTACATATTAATCTCTTAGCCAAAGTCTTGAAAGGATGATTTGAACGGATACCTTATGAGCCCTTCAAAAGGAAAAGTTGGTTAATATCAGCCAGCATGCACTCATTACCAACATTCAGGCCATTGCATGTCGTCTTGTCATTTCCTTCCATGCTAAAATGAGTAGGTCAGAGGTTCAAAGAATTACAGGACTATACTAGATGCTGTCTTCACGGTAGTGACTCATTTGGAAAATACTTTGACGATGCCTTTGTTATGTAAAATATATACACAAGGGCTGAATGAGTCAACATCTAGTTGCCTTTTGTTAGTTAATTGAGCTGCAATACCTCCCAAGTTGTGGATTGAGGGACTGTATATAACTAAAATGATCATGCTTGAGTCCACAGCTGAGTTGAATGGCTGTTCAGGGCCAGTCTGTTCAGTATTTCTGCTAAGACCTATCATGCCTGCATCTCATCTACAAGTCACGCAAATCTGGGAGTGATGACTCCTATGGTGGCTTTCAAACTCAGAATTCTACCCTCTTGATATGTAGAATGATGAGCTAAACCCAACAAATTAGGGTTTAACAGGAATAAATGTGAAATCACGAAGATGAGTTACACATTCTACTCGGCACAAAATTGAATTGGCATGATCGCGGTTCTTGTGAAAGAAACAAGACAAAACGAAAAAAACCTACCTGCCAACTAAGAATGAATCAACCGCACAATGGAGCTGTCCTAAGGCTAATGCAGTCTAGACCCCACATTGATACCCGGTTCAAAATGAGGAAGAAAGTCGTTTCTCTGTTTTCACTATTGCTTAGGCAACATGCAGGCTACAGCACTGAACAGATGTGAGGAAGTTGTGCAGGATTTTGAGCATCCTGAAATACCACAGCGCAAACAACAAAATGGGCCAATACAGGGACCTTGAGAATACTGTTCAAAGATCAAATCGAAATGATCTTTCCCTCTTTCCTACTTGGAATCACATTGATCTTCGGTTCAGCCAATCTCAAATACTCACCAGTTCTTTGTGTCACTGGGTTCACAGAATGCCAGGCAGCACTAGTGACTCTGAGAAAACTAGGCCAAAAGGAAACGGGAAAGAGAAGTGGCAGGTCTGGGTGCGCACATTCCATGAAACGCCCAGCTCAGAGACGATGCAGCGGCCTCGTCATCATTGTGGCGAGTGAATGTGGCATATGAGTGAGATTGTCTTAAACCACTGATGGAAAGGTTACTCAAGGCACAAGTCGAACTGACAAGAGGCCCCAGTGGTGTCCCTGATGACACTTGTATCTCAATGCCATTGCAGAAGGACCTCTCCCACTGCCCTGTTATAAATTTGCCCACATCACAGATTTCCTTGGCTGGAGAAGGTAAAGATTTCCTTGCCCTCTCACTAAATGTCATAATCGTTTATTTACGATAAGGTCTGGGTAGGCTATTTTTTATTGTATTTTTAGAAATTAGCAAAATACCGAAAATGTTCTTTGAATAAATAACAGATAATTTGCCTTAATTCTGACTTCTTGGTCACTTAATATCTCAGTGAAGAACCTCCAAGACTAAACTTGATATCGACTTTACATGATATTTTTATATTAACATATAAATTTTGAAGTCGAATTTAAAGCTTTGCATGATTTTTTTTAAGGTAAAGTTTTGGACTTCCAACAATTATTGCAAGCAGAGGAGGAAATTAAAAGTATGTTCTTTGTTTCCACCACTGAAGGGTCAGCTACCAAAACTGAAGGAGACACTTATGCAGCAGGTATATATTTGTTAGTGCTTGGAAAAACTGTAAGACGTAATGATAATGTGAAGTGTTTTTGTTATGAAGCTTACTCACATGTGGTTCATAACTCAAGATGATTAGGAACCTTGCCTCTTTCTTCCCCTCCTCCCTCTTCATTTTCACACTGCACTCCTCGCCCCCCTCCCCCATATCACCTGCAGAAGATATCTGTTACCTGGACCACCTGTGTTTGCTGTAACTGCCTCCTGCCCAGATATGCTTTCTTTGGAAAGTATTCCAGTCTCCTATTTCATTCAGAAACCCTCCAGGATTCACTCGTTGGGGTCTCCCTTCCCCCCAGGAATGCCCATTGCTTTCTTTCCAAAGACAGTACAAATGAGCTTACTTGGCCTTCTGTATTAGCAGATGGTCATACGTTTATGTCTCACCTCATGGGTAATACACTGATTTTACTGGCACTGATCAAAAAGAGGGTTCTCAGAACTATAAGGTCAGACTCTGTGGCTACCTATGAGAATGACCACTTTAGAGGCTCCGGCCTTCTCTGTAGGCACAAAGTCAATATTCGCAAAGCTCTAGACCTCAGGTTCTCAAACTCACATTTTTATGCAGTACCTATGGAGATGTTACCATAAAAGCCATATTCTCACATTGGTTTAGGAGGAGTCATTCTTACCTTGTACCAGGTAACCTCTGAACTTTGGGCATCACTTTGGCAGTTGAAGCTGGGGCAATTAATATAGGCAGTGCTACCAATAAGAAGTTGTTGCTCATGTGATACAAAGTTCTTTGGTATACATGATACATTGGTCTTAGGCTTAACTTCTAAGATGATCTTGACACAGCAGGCCTCACCCTGAGGGCTCCTAGGAGAGTTAACAAGGTCGTGTAAACACAGATGTTATATCCAGGTACTATGAGATTTGGGAATGTTTTCTTATAAGAATGCATTTGGGACATACCTAATCCTGGGTCTACAGATATATGACCCAGCATTATCCATTCCTGTGGTCAAAAAGTGTAGGACACCCTTGTCCTGGATGATGTGACGAGAGTTGTTAGTTATTTCCCCTAATGGATTTCCATCTTGAGGTTGTAGGTACCACTGGACGTCAGATAGATCCTTACTACCACTGCAGGGCAAGTTTTCAGAGCCTTGGGCCGGTGAGAGTTGACTTCTGTGATAAGAACGGGATTTCCGTGACTCTGTTAAGTCACAAAATAAGACAAACTTCTCACTCCCTGAAGAGTATTCCCAAAGAAGTTTTTTGGTGATGCAGTCTGAAAACGACAAGGAACAAAGCAACAAAGAGATGTGTTAGAAGATGAAATTCTTCCTTGGCAATGATTTTTTTGGATGTGACATCTAAAGCACATGCAAGAGGAGAAAAAATAAACAAGTAGAACTATATCAAACTAAAACCTTCTGCTTTTAGTTCATGATCAATGAAATGAAAAGATAACCTATGGAATAGGAAAAATATATCTAGTAAGAAGTATCTAATTAACATCCAAAGCACACAAAGAATGCATACAACTCAAAAGCAAAACCAACAAGAGCAAACAAACAATAAAAATCCAAATACGCCACTTAAAAATGGGCAATGAATCTGAATAAGCATTTGCCCAAGAACGTATACAATTGGCCAACAGGTACATGAAAAGGTGTTCAACGTCACTAATCAACAGGGGAATGGTCTTGACACAACGATCACTATCATAGTGAAATATCGTCTCACATCTGGTAGGATGGCTTATCAACAAAAAGACAAGAGATAAGAAATGCTCACGAGGAGACAGAGAAAATGGAACCCTTATGCACTGTTGGGATTATAAATTGCTATACCCACTGTGGAAAACAGTATGGGGGTTCCTCAAAACGTAAAAAATAGAACAACAATATGACTCATAAATTTCATTTCTGGTAATATAGCTGAAGGAAATGAAAATGCTCTGTTGGGAGATATTCTGCACCCCTGTGTTCATAGCAGCATTATTCATGATCATCAAGATATGGAAAAACCTAAATGTTCATCAAATGAATGGATACAGAAGTCATGCACACACACGTACACAATAGAATACCATTCAGCCAAAAAAAAAGAAGGAAATCTTGTCATTTGTAACAACATGGATGGACCTTGAGGGCATTCTGCTAAATGAAATAAGTCAGACAGAGAGACAAATACCATATGATGTAACTTATACGCGGAGACTAAAAACAAAAACAAAACAAAACCAAGCTCATAAAAAAAGAGATCAGATTTGTGGTTAACTGAGGCTGGGGTGAGGAGTGGGGGAATTAGATGAGGTAGCCAGAAGGTACAAACTTCTAGTTATAAGACACATGAGTGGTGGGAACGTATTGGAGAACACAGTGACTGTAGTTAACACTTCTGTATGATATATCTGAAAGTTGTTAAGAAAATGGATTCTGAGGGGTGCCTGGATGGCTCAGTCAGTTAAGTGCCTGACTCTTGAATTCAGCTCAGGTCATAATTCCAGGGTTGTGGGATTGAGCCCCATGTCAGCTCCATGCTGAGTGTGGATCCAGGTTGGTATTCTCTCTCTCTCTTCCCCCTCTCCCCCCCTCACATGCTCTCTCTCTCTCTCTCTCTCAGAAAGAAGGAGGAGGAGGAGGAGGAGGAGGAGGAGGAGGAGGAAAAGGAGAAGGAGAACAAGAAATTTTATTTTTCTTTTTTTGTAGCTATATGAGATCATGGATATTAACTAAATTTGCCGTGGTAATCATTTCACAGTATATTTAAATGAAGTTATTTTGCTATATATCTTAAATATATGCAGTGCTATCTATCACTTATATCTCAACAAAACTGGAGGAATAAAAGATCAAACTCTAACTTACATTTACAAACAGTGCTGGATTTAACAACGGATTAAGCTCTCTTGTGTGTCTGTCTTCTTCACTGTCTCCACTTAGAAGTTCATGTTCTAACTCGCACTTTGTGGACTTGAGCTGGCCGGTAGCCATAGCAGTTTCCTGTTATAGAAGGCTGAGCTGCCCCTCATTCCTCTTCAGCTGCTCCCACTGAATACCCACCTACCATAACTGGGTTCCTCACTGATGCTTGGTATCAGCTGAAAGCTGTTCACCCCAGTAATTTCTCACCTCCTGCGCTCATCTTAACAGTAAGAAGGAAATGCTCTGTATTAACAGGTCAAGCTGCTGATATATCAGAGTATCTGTCACTTTATACTTTGACCACAAGACTCATAGTGTTAACATGAAAAGTGAAATCCCTACCTGAAGTATTCAGTCCTTTAGTTCTCTCTCCTGTGACAAGCCAGAGAAATATCCAGACCAAATAAAGCATCATTCTCCCTGGGTGCTGTCATCACTTGAATGAATTTGTCCCGTTGCCAAGCTGTGGTACATTGTGTTTCAGAGCTCTTCCCTGAGGATCCTCTTCATTTCTGTAAGTCAAGAAATGAAAAATGGAGAAATCAGAACCAGTGATCAAAATGCAAGTCACACAGGAAGCTTTGAAAGGGCAGGTCCTACCCAAGTGAGCCTTCCCTTGCCCACAATGGTGTGGGGCAGTCTCGTTGAATGTGTCATTTCTTGTACATCTAAAGGAGGGAGAGCAGCGTCTCATACTCATGGCAACCACTTGGAACTCTGCACCATACCGTGGGTCCTTTTGGTGCCATTTCTTCATGGAAATCTCCTTCTTCGCCTCCCCTTCCCTTGCCTTTTCCCTTCCCTCTTCTTCTTCCTTCTCTCTCCCCCTCCTCTTCCTTTTCTCCTCCTCCTTCTCCTCCTCCTCCTTCTTCTGTTATCACCTTCATGCATATTTATTTCCATGAGTACTTTGGAAAAATTTAAGTGAAACTTTTCTGGAAAAGGGGGCCCAAATTGATTGAAAATATCAGGTTCCCCACAGTTAGAAAGCCTATACTATAGCTCATCTGTATAAAATTTAAGGATGTCCACAGGCCCATTTTATTTATTTTTATTAGTAGTTGTAATAACTGTTAAAGAATAGACTCTTTTCTCCCCAAATAGGAAGGGAAAAGTTGTCACTGGATAGCAATACTACTGTCTTACTCTGTGTATTACTCTCTGGGGTTGTTAGAATAAGGAAACATTCTCCTGAACTTTGCCTGAAAATTTGCCCTAAAACATTCCCCTACTGTCTTGGGCTCTTTAAAGGGAAAGTAGGGGAAAACATTCCCCTACTGCTTTGGGCACCTGGGTGACTCAGTCAGTTAAGTGTCCAACTTTGGCTCAGTTCAAGACCTCACGGCTCGTGAGTTCAAGCCCCACATCGGGCTCTGTGCTGACAGCTCAGAGCCTGGAGCCTGCTTCGGATTCTGTGTCTCCCTCTCTCTCTACCCCTCCCCCATCCACATTCTATCTCTCTCTGTCTCAAAATAAATAAAAGTTAAAAAGAAACTTTAAAAGCTGAAGGCGGGGGTTGAAGGGATGGGGAAAGGTGATGAGCTTTGAGGAGAGCACTTGGAATGTAAGTGATGAATCACGGGAATCTACTCTCAAAGCCAAGAACACACTGTATATACTGTGTTTTAGCTAACTTGACAATAAATTATATTTAAAAATTAATTGAAAAGTAAAAAAAAGTACTAAACATAAAAAAATTAAGTGAAGGTGGGGTGGGGAACAAAATAATCCTCAGATAGAAACGGTGAAGGAGCAGGTCATCTCAAGATAGAGAATGAGAGCCCTGCCCTGTGTTGATGGCACTTTTGTCTCCCTTGTTTGTAGGGTGGCCATTGGGTTATAAGAGATGAGAGAGAAGGATACTGGGTGGGTGTCTTAGTCCAGTGGCCACTGTCACAGAATACCACATCGTGGGTGGCGTATAAACAATGGGAATTGATCGCTCACAGTTCTGGGGGCTGGGAAGTCCAAGATCAAGTCACCAGCATGGCTGTATTCTCCTGAAGGCCCTCTACCTAGTTCGTAGTGCCTTTTCACTGTGGCCTCAGATGGTAAAAGGTCCTAGCAATCTCTCTGGAGTCTCTTTTATAAAACACTCATCCTATTTATGAAGGCGCCACCTTATGACTTCCAAAGCATCTTCCAAAGGCCCTGACTCCTAATACTTATCATTAGTGGCCTCATCTTTAGAGGTTAAAATTTCACCGTATGAATGTGGGGAAGAACACATTCAGACCAGAATCGTGTGTAATATTTGATTTTGTTTAATGTTGTTTCGAGCAAAAAATAAAAGTACTTTTGTTATATGGCTATTTTGTCTGTCCTTTTAGAGTCCTGAACTATTATCACTAATATAAAAATTACTCTGCACTACTCTGTGTGTTACTTTTGAAGTGGTAGGTATAAGAAAACTTACCCGGGTATTCTGTCAGAATCCCTCCTTAAACACTCCCACACTGTCTTAGGCTCTTTAATGTTGACGGGAGTGGACAAAATAAACAGAAAAGTCCCCGTCCTCAAGGTTTTGTCCTAACATGAGAAACTCTTTTTTAATTTTGAATTCTTTGCTTTATTTTTAAAATTACATTGAGACATTTATTTCACATCATTTAAACATGTTTTTTGTGAGAACGATGTTAAATAAAAAGTTGTTCTGACACTGAAACAGTAAAAAATACTTTTATTCAAAACTATTGTAATAGGGGAGAGAAATCAAGCTCAACTCAGAACACAGCAAGGACAAGGGAGAATTTATAGTCAAAGAGCAAGGTGAGGGCATCAGGGGATGGAAAGTTAACTAAAGAGATATCAAGGGCAGAGAGATTCTTACTAAACTGATCTAACAGAGTTCTTGCTCAAGGAGAGTCAAGGGCTTAGATACCAAGGGTGGGAGAAGACGACCTTGATCAGGTATCAAGTGTAGGAGAATGATTTCGCAGGACACTTTGCTAAGACTGGGCTGGGCAGACCAAACATATGACTGGAGCCAGGGTGGAGGCCTACTGGAGAAGAGGTCTCAGAGAAGCCCGACTAAAGTTTGGTCAAGGAGAGAGTCTTTATCAAGATGCCCATGTGGCTCAGTCAGTTAAGCATCCAACTTCAGCTCAGGTCATGATCTCACGGTTCATGAGTGGGTTCGAGTCCTGAGTCGGGCTCTGTGCTGACAGTGCAGAGCCTGCTTTAAATTCTCTATCTTCTTCTCTCTCTCTGCCCTTCCCCTACTCATGTTCTCTCTCTCTCTCTCTCTCTCAAATAAACATACAGTTAAAAAAGGAAGAGAAGACTGCCTTTGTCAACATAAAATTGCAAATAAGCAATACAGAAGAATGCATTACAGAAATAAATACAATAATGACAGAAAAGAAAAATAAAGAGGGAAGGAAGAAAAGAAGGAAAGAAAGAAAGAAAGAAAGAAAGAAAGAAAGAAAGAAAGAAAGAAAGAAAGAAAGAAAGAGGGAAGGAGGGAGAGAGAGAGGGAGAGGAGAGAAAGAAGGAAGGGAGGAAGGAGGGAGGGAGGGAGGGAAGGAGGAAGGAAGAGAAGGGAAAGAAAGGTTACATAAATGTCACTTGGCCCTTTAAAAGTCTCCCCACAATATCCATATTCTTCAGGAAGCTGACAAAATCAATCTCTTTGTCTTTTGACATCTAACCAGCCAAGCAAGTTCCTCTCTTCGCAACCCCCTCCCTCGCCTTTGCTGACTTGCTGCCCATCTGCGACCACTGCCTCCACTCCCCAACTTTCCCAGGACCTTTCTTTCCAGGTATTCCCACCTTTTCTCATAAATAAATGCTTGGCTTTCCTCATCTTATAAAATTCTTCATTTCTAACCAGTTTCCAACACACACACACACCGCGCGCACGCGCGCCAAATCTCCAACATCTTCAGATGCAGGAGGAGAAAGTAACTTTAATATCTATAATATCTTTATTAATACTTAGCGTTCTTCTAACAGAAATAGTGAGCTTGAGGTGCCTTTGGGGATCCAGTTGGAGCATTGCAAAGACAGCTGGGCGGGACTCAGAAATGCGTCTGTGGGGCACCTGGGTGGCTAAGTGGCTAAGCGTCCTACCTTGACTCAGGTCAAGATCTCATGGTTCATGAGTTCAAGCCCCACATCCAGCTCTGCACTGACTGTGTGGAACCTGCTTGGAATTCTCTTTCTGTCCCTCCTCCCCCCTCAAAATAAATAAGTAAACTTAAAAAAAATGCTTCTGGGGGTCAGCAGAATAGGGAAACATTCAAGCCAGGAACATCTGTAAGCTGCCAGGAGAGGGCAGACAGATTTCCCTAAAGAACACCATCCTGGAAAGGGTGGGTCAGGGCTAAAGATGAAGTGAGAAAGGATAAACCCAAAAGGAAGAGAAGAAACAGAACACAGAGACTATCCTGATACGAAGCACAGAGAGTGTCTGCAGGGAAGATGGGATGTTAGTGTCAGGAGCAACAGAGTAGGCATGAAATAGACTGAGAAGCGTCCTCTGGGTTTGGCTCCAGTAGATCAGGTCAGCTTGTGCAGGGGCCAGGGGTGAGTTGACAGAGAGCAGGACAAGAAGAGGAAGTAGCAGGAGAAACGTGTGGGGCAAGAACAAGCCGTGCAGTCCACAGGCTGCCTGGGCAGAGAAGCCAGAGGGCGTGTTAGAGCACTTGGGGGACAAGGCCAGAGCTTATACTGCAGTTGGCTGTGAGGGGAATGAGTGTGCAGGGTAGCAGGTTAAGTAGAGTCAGACTGAGGATTTAGGAAGAGGTAGAATCCCTAAAACCATGGAGAGATCAGGCGTAGACTGGAGGCCATGCATGCTAGGAAAGTCCATCCAGACCAGTTTGCCCATGTGGGGAAAGGATGTTTCCACCTGGTCACTGACCTGCTGAGAGGAGAGCGTGCTCAGAGGGCAAGAGGCTTCATGAGATGCTGGAGCACCTTGAAGAGATCCATGCATGAGGACTAGAGTCGCTGCCTTGTTTATCCCCATTGGTGACAACTGGTGGCCCTTCTTATAAAGACTGTGGTCAAGGAAAAAGGCAAGATCAGCAACTGCATTTTAAGATGTGGTCTCCCCTTCACCTTTCGTTCCTTTGCCTCATAGAATAATCTCTCCATCTCCAACTTCTAGAGCCATCTTCCTAAAAAGCAAATCTGGGTATGTCATTTCTGTGCTACAGACTTCACCAGCTCCACTGTACATGAGACAAAGAAGTCATCCCAGCCACCATTTACAAAACCCCATGGGACTTGATTTGGTTCTCTCATGTCTTATATTGCATTTCTTCTCCAGAGAGACCATCTCTGGCCATTGGCATAATAAGCCCATCCTTCCCTCCTCACCACTGTGCTAGCCAGCCACCACCTCTTGTTACTCATTTTATATTTGTCTTAGTTCATGTTACTGTCTCACAATATGTTGTTTTAAAAACTTCTTGGGGTGCCTGGGTGGCTCAGTCGGCTAAGCGGCCAGCTTCAGCTCAGGTCGTGATCTCACAGTTCGTGGGTTCAAGCCCTGCATCGGGCTCTGTGCTGACACCTAGCTCAGAACCTGAAGCCTGTTTCACATTCTGTGTCTCCCCCTCTCTTTGACCCTCCCTTGTTCACGCTGTCTCTCTCCCTCTCTCAGAAATAAATAAAACATTAAAAATTAAAAAAAAAAAAAAAAAAACCTTCTTTCTAGGGCACCTGGGTGGCTTGGTTGATTAAGTGTTTAATTCTTGATTTTGGCTCAGGTCATGATCTCACAGTTCAGCATTTGAG